GTTCGGCGGGCAGGCAGAGGTCCTGGCGTCCGTCCGCGCCCAGCGCACCTCTCTGTTCCTCAGAGGAACCTAACGGAGTTGGTGGTGGCGTTGACCGACGAGAACATCGTGGGGCTGTTCGCGGCGCTCCTGGCAGAACGAAGAGTCCTGCTCACCGCTAGCAAGCTCAGCACCGTAGGCGGGGCCAGCCGGGGAGGGCGGGGCAGTGGGGCTGAAGCCTAGCCTCCTATGGGGCGGGGCCAGAGGGCAAAATTCTGGCTCCGCCCCTTTGGAGATCCGTGGCTGTTTAAATCCTGGCTCCACAGCTACGGGTGGGTAATCAATAAGGCCTGCTCCTCTTTCGGAGCGCTGAGTCCTGTCTCCACCCACTATGAATCAAAATAAACCTAGCTCCGCCCTCCTGGGGTGGGGGCGTGAGATCAGAGATTGCTAAATTCTTGCTCCGCCCCTAGGGGAAGTACCAGGGAAGCCTGGATGCTGGCCCCACCCCTAGAGGCGGGATCAGGGAAGAAATGAATTTTGGCTCCACCCCTAACGGTGGGATCAGGGAGGGCTGAATGCTGGCTCCATCTCTAGGGGCAGGACTAAGGAGAGCTGGATGCTGGCTCCACCTCTGGGGGCAGAACCAGAGAGGGCTGAAGGCTGGCTCCACTCCTAGGGGCGGGACTAAGGAGGGGTAAAAGATGGCTACCGCCCTATGAGGAGAGATCAGAGAGGACTGAGCCCTATCCCTCCTCTTTGGAGGTGGGGTCAGTGGGGGCTGAGTCCTGGCTCCCCCTGCTGGAAGTCTCCTGCCTGATTCCTGTAGGGGTCTGAGTTTTCGCCCCTTCCTTACCCCATAGCGCGGGGTAGAAGGGGGAGCAGCAGACTGGGGAAGCGTGAGATGGAGCTAGGAGAACCACCATCTCAGGCCCTGATTCCACGGCCCCTCACCTGTCCCCAGCTGACCTCGTGCGTCCACGCGTCCTGCGCCCTCCTGTACCCTATGCGCTGGGAGCACGTGCTGATCCCCACGCTGCCTCCGCACCTGCTGGACTATTGCTGGTGAGGGAGGGGTGTCTGGGGAGGGGCGAGCCCTAGGGAAGGAGCCTGGGGGTCCGGGGGTGGCACCTGCATGATACCACCCCCTGGTCCGCAGCGCGCCCATGCCCTACCTCATTGGGGTTCACGCCAGTCTCGCGGAGGTGAGTGGGGGTGGGACCTGGACGACGGGGACAGGTGGGGCCCCCTCCCTTTCCATCCCCAGATACCTCCCCTGCTAGGGAGCCTGAGCTCTGAGCGGCCACCCCCCACTGACTGCAGAGAGTGCGTGATAAAGCCCTGGAGGACGTCGTGGTAATGAACGTGGACTCCAACACCTTGGAGACGCCCTTCGACGACGTGCAGGCACTACCCCCGGAAGTGGTCAGTGTCACCCCCTCCCGCCCGCCCTCCTGCCTCATGGGGAGGCAGAGGCCCCATATCCACCCACTCGCCTGCCCTCTTGTCCTCCTCCAGGTGTCCCTGCTGAGGCTGCAGCTCAGGAAGGTCGCCCTGGTTCCCGGGGAAGGGGTGTCCCGTCTCTTCCTCAAAGCCCAAGCCCTGCTTTTCGGCGGGTACCGTGACGCGCTAGTCTGCAGCCCGGTGAGCAGCAGAGACCCGGGGGGAGAGGCCTCGTGGATCCTTGAAGGAGTCACAATAACAATGATATCTGGCATTTAATGAGCACTTAGTCTGTGCCTCCATTTGCTCGCCTGTAAAATGGGATTCCCAAAAGGGTCGGTATTGCTGTTA